ATATGAGTCAGATGGGTCAAAAAAATCGGATTTGGGTCTGATTTGCCTGCAGTGTGAACGTAGCCTCTGTTTTTAAGGTTTTGATGTCTCTCAATCACAGCTKACTGATTATTGTTTATCAACTGTGACTGGACACAAATCAGAACCAAACAGAACACTTCAGTCATTTCATGAAAAGGTAAATAAATTAAATTCTAAATGCATTTCTAACTCTTTTRGAGGACAACAAATATTGATTATGGACACTGATACCCAAAGTCCATCTTGTAGGATGATACAGTCTCATTTCTGTTTATCATGCTTATAAACTTGTTAAATCATCATCATATTAGATTATATTAGATTATTAAATCCTGAACAGGATTTTGTGAAAGCTGGATAAATAACAGAGTTCTTGCTGATGWACAGACTCATGTTTGGATTAAAACACCGTTATGCTCATTCACAAGTGTGCAAACGGACTTTAGCTCTGTTAATTTGATAGATATCGACTATGAATTTGTTTGGTRGTAGCTGAGAGTCATTCCCAACACATACTCTGAGCCCCAACAGATTGTGTAAGATCTTGGTTCTAAACTTTGGCATTAATTGTGGAAKTCAAACCCATTTGTCTCTTAGCAAAATATCTTRGAAGATTTATTGAACCGCTCAGAAAATGGGGATGGTCTGGTTGTCTTTTGAACTGTTTTGTAGCACATTGGTGCTTTGGGCAGTGCTTACGTTAGACGAGAGCCTGTAAGGTGGGGTGGACTGGTAGATGTCGTTTTGGTAGGTGTGCGTGTTGGGGCAGCGCTGCGTGGCCTGCCTCTTCCCTCGACCAACCGATCGACTCTGCATCATGCAGCGAGCCACCTCTGCAGGCGTCTGCTGCGGCGGCGCGTACGGGTAACAGTCCTCCGTCACAACCCTGACACAGGGATCAAAGAAGGAGTCAGCTGTAGATACATATATATTTTTAAAAAGTGCAGTRATGTTCACTGTGAGAGTGGTGAAGGTGGTGCCTACCCCCGACGCCGCAGATACCACCAGGCTCCATCTATGCGCCCTCCAGCACAGCCTCCCTGGTTGCGGGTGTCACAGGAGATAAGATTTTGTGGGGACAGCTGAGGGGTCATATGACCCATGGACTGGATGGAGATTCGGTCTGATGCTACAGCTAATGGACAGGACAAACAAACATTAAACAGAGCTCAAATGGAGGATTGCAGAGCCAGACTATGTCACCCACCTGCAGTTGAAAAAGCCCAGGAAGCAGCACAGTTGCCCTGATCCAGCGGTTCATGAATCTTCCCTGGCCACTTCTCTGCTGAGTTGAAGTGGAGCGGCAGGCGGTCATTTTGAGGGTCCATGTTCATCTGTAAAAGACAAATGATGCTAAGATCAAAATGTTTTATTTATCCCTCCTCTAATGCGAGTATTCTGTTTGTTTCTGTTTATTATCGKGACCTCGTTTTTCTTAAAAGGTCATAAATGTTTAACATGCTGAATCTGTCTTTAAAAAAWTGTCCAAAGTGATAAACTTTTCCAATAATAGTACTTTAAAATGTTATCCAGAGATTCAAAATCATGGGACCTTGTAGCTCACAGTCAAATAAAAACATTTCTTTTTGAGTTGGTTGGTTATGTGACTTAATTCGAGTTCCCTTTCCAGACATATATTTGTTCGTAGATAAGATAAAACGGCGCACACTTCTGAACAACCACTTCTGAACAACCGACTTCCCCTTTTCCCTCAAAACCTTTGGCTACCTGTGCTGCATTCCAGTGATTAATGATGTGGTGCATCAAACGTCACACTTGATGTATAACTGAGGAATGTGCTGCTGCTCGTGGATGGTCAAAGTCCACAAATCTGACCAACGAGTCAAAAGTCAGGAAAGAATATAATTGTTTGTGTGTGAGGAGTTTCTAATCATAAAATCCCTCATGTCTAACTTTCATACAWGAGTCAAACAGAGAAAGGGATGACKGGAGGTTTTGAAGTAACTGTGGTCTTGTTAGAAAAGCAKGTTGGAACATGCTGATGATAAATTAGGAGCACTTTTGGGTGGGATGGATGGATGTGGGTGGAGGAGAGAAGGTGTGGACTGAAAAGGAGGTTATTCTTTACCCTTCAGACAGCCACCACCCCTTCCTCTATTTTCTATTTGCATGATGTTTTGGTTTCTGTCTTATGTAATCTGTCTGGACCAAATGTAAACAAAGAGAGAGAGAGAGAGGACCAGTAGAGGTTGAGGGTTCCAGACGAGGTTGCTATCACATCAAGCCCCCATCATTAGCCGAAATTGTTTAATCAGCGCTCACTTGTGATAAACCCAAATATCACTTCAAAACTTCAGAGGAAGAAGGCAGGGAGCTCGTAAAAACACGACACGTCACRACTCAGCTTTACAGTCTCTGCTGTCGCTACGACATCCTGTTTGCTTTTTTCATCAAACCCACATTTTATGAGTCACACTTTATCATCAAGGGTATGATAAAGGACTTTTTTCAAACCCGAAGATCGGATTTAATTCTGACTGAATTTGGCCAGAATAAAACTTAATTTCTCCAGTTTGAGGTTGATCAAAAATACAGTAAATCTACAACAGGTAAGATATTAATTGCTCATAAATTTCATTTTTATTATGTCGATTATGTGACGTTAAGCAAAATGTGGCTCTAACTCAGCATCCAAGAACAAAATCTTAATCAGACAGTTCTGACTCACTTTCACACAATTACCAAACCATAAAAAGTGCGTTCTTTAAACATCTATTTTAATCTAATAATCTAAATGAGGACAAAAATGCACAAACTGACATCATGCCGGAAAAAAAATGGAAACTAGTCCATAAAACGAGACATGACAACCAGAAAAGGACAAAAAAATGTCTACAGAGAAGAAAAAAATGAGACATAAATAGAGTTGATAAATGAACCGAGGAGCAACATTTCCAAATTTRGGCTCCAGTTTCTCTTTCAGGCGAAATGTTTTAGTTTTCAGAGAAATCAATCAAAATCCTGTTAGTCATCATTTAATGTTCAGAGGTGTGTTCATGAATCACCTGTCTGACTCGACACAAGTAGGAACTGGTGGTTTTGGAGAGACTGGCAGGAGCTGATTTCAATAAAGCTCTTGAATTAATCCTGTTTTAGTTCATTTCCATGTTTAAAAACTGAGTTATTAATCACTTTGTTAAATATTCTAATAATATAACAGAGAAATTGAGATTCTGTAGTTAAAATAAAACACTCAAAAAACAGATGTAGTAGATTTAATATGTCAGCTGGTTCTAGTAAACTGAACTGAGTAAAACGGTGACACATTTAATTTAATTCAGTTGTGTGAAACTATATTATATATATACGCATCTATTTTTTGAGAGTAACTTTCTGTTTCTTCATAAATGAATCAGGTAGGCCTACTGCAAAACATAAAAAATATATATTTTCACAAAATATGGTTATATATTAAAAACATCTTGAAACTTTATATAACTTAGGAAAAGCTTTATGTAATATAGAAAGAGTAAAAAACAATTCACTAAAAACTAAAAACAACTAAAACATATCATTAAATTTAAAAAATATGTTCCCAAATGCCAGCCATTTCTGAGTTGAGTAAGTGTAAAGCAACTTTCACAACTTCTTTCAGTACAAATGTAGAAGTGGCTCTACATTTACTCAACTCATTTAAGTGTAAATTGTTACAYAACTTGGTTAAGTTAATCCAACAATCTGTTTTTTGAGCGTAGATTGGATTTAGTTGTATTTATGTGGTATTTTAAGGCAAAACCACAAATTTAAGACACTGARTTTGCCAACAAGAACTGTGATTTTCTTTAGTCTGCCTCTACCTGAATCTCATTCATGTTCATGATGATGCTGGAAGGTCTCTGTGTGCCCAGACGGTAGCGGATTCCTTCATCCAAAGTCAGGCCGTAAAACTGACTGTAGTTGGCTGCCTTCCACCTGAAAGCAGGAAGAATGTGGTTTAAAAGTGAAATTGTGTCTTTGAACCCTCTAAAAAAGGAAACAACAGCTTGTCTCAGTTTCTCACCCATAGTTGCCTCTGTTGACAGCATGGATGACGTCAGGCTCAATGAGACAAGCGTTCTGCTCGCACTCCCAGCGTCCCCCAGCGCCACAGGTACTACAGGAGAAAACAAAGAGAAAAGGTTACAAGTGTGGTAGAAGCAGCACAAAAATCCACTGMATTAATGTACTGAAGCTGGAGCATCAGCAGCATCAAAAGTACAACCACAAATATAACATTTTACATGTTTAAACTTATAAACTTTCCTCTTCATGCTATTTTATCACGTACTTAAACATCAGCTAATCAATACCTTCAAACACATTTTTTATTTTGAATGTTTTAGCACAGTTTGATGATAACTGCGACAAAAACGATCCACAAAGAAGAATTATTGACTCACTGATTCACTTTAAGCTCAATCATCAAACTTGTCAGTTTCTCTGCATTTTTTAAACCATTATTCACCACAGCGCTTTAAAATACAATCAGACTTGTACATGTTCATGTTAAGATATGAAACAAACAAAAAAAATGTTGACTAAACATGAGCGAGCTTRAAGAGAGGGTCCCACCCAAAACAATCATTACACACGCAGAGATGGACGAGTCAAATTCACTTTGAGACCACTTAGAGAGCCACGGACTGGATCACACCTCATATAGTATTTTCTATAGTATCCATCTGAAGACTTTGTCAGTATAAATGCGCAGCGCAGACCCTGCAAGTCCAAAACAGCAGCAAACCCTCACAGTAAGATTCCTGAGTTCAGCAGCAGAAGCATGACGATGCAAAAAGGCTGAAAATAGAATCGGAGTGCTGTGAGGACAGTGGGAGGCCATTTTTAACATTCGTAGACACCCTCTCTGCGAAAGACAAACATACGCTCAGCTGGACGGCTCATCACCCTGATCTGCACCATTTATAACTTTTRAAAAACTCTAATTAGCTTTGGCTGCTGTCCAATCAGATGTGCGAGCAGAGACAGCAGACCCCTGTTCCTTCAGGGTGTTTGGATCATCAGAACAAGCAGGAGATGCCATGTTTCTGAGCTATCAGAAGTGTCCCAGCTGGAAGTACCAGAAATGCACCGCTCTTCATCTTGAACCCTTCAAACCTCAACTATCTCGTAGAGCGAGATAAAGCGCCCTAAAATCCATCACCGAAGCGTAATATTTGTGTTTCTTTGACACTAGCCATCCCTTCTCTTGTTCCAAGCAGGAGGAACAGATTCAGACGTTCGAGCCGGCAGGGAGCTGGCTGTCAGTTTGAAGAGGAAGCCGTGCTTTCCGCCCAGCAGAGGGAAAACACGTTGAGCAAATGACTGAGCAGAGCGAGTGGGAGTAAAGGAAAGGGGAGGAAGTTGGGTGTCCTTCCGTGCCAAAGATGTGGCGCAGTTTTTTAAGTGGCCGTGTGTGAAGACTGAACAGGAACGTGTCGGAGACGGGGAGGTATAGTGGTGCAACTTTTTATTTCACGTACACAAAACGGAACCTGCTTATGGCTTGGGTTAGTGGTTTTTACAAAAACAATGTAGGAATGATGTAATTCAATTAAAGAAAGTTTATAGAATAATCTTGATTTTAAAAYTTCCAAAACAATTTGTAAGTTTAAAAAGATGATTAAAGCTAGTTTATTGGAAAAAATATGATGTCATTTGTATCAATACAAACTGTTGTTCAAACAAGATGGAAAGGACCTGATGATGTTTTTGTTTTATTTTAAAGCAGGGCTATTCAACTAAATTACTCCTGGGGCCACGGTTAATGCAGGCCAACAGCTGAGGGGCCGAACATCCAGCAATTAAAGTCATTATGTAAATAAACCAAAGACCCTTTGAAATAATTTATTTTGCTGCATTTAATCATGATATAACATAAGAACCCTATGTAATAAATKTAGTGATAATAAAACAATGTCAAAAACAAAAATAATGCATCACCTCCTATTAAACACACAATATTTTGACATCTCTGACTTGCCAACTTTTTAAAATCAATTTTATTTTTACCTTCATAGTTTTATATTCAACTGCTTGTAGTTTTAACTGTCTTGGGTGTGCTTGAACTAGTTTTTACCAGCTTGTAGCCAAGATTCTGACGTTTCTGTAGATACCAAACTTTTCTATGTTTAACTAAAAGTACTCATAGTAATTAAAGTAGAAAACTGGTAGTCTGGGCTTAAGAGATGAATGAACCAATTGGCGGGCCGCAAGTTGGTCACTCGCGGGCGGGCTGCCAGTTGAATAGCCCTGTTTTAGAGTTTGAGTCGACTGTATTATTATTGCTTGAACTGATTTTTTGGGGGGGAAAAATCAATGGTAATAAAAAAAATTCTCTCTGCTTACTTTCATTTCATTTATGATGTGTTTTGTTTTTTATTGTTTCTAGATTTTTCTTGTGTTTGTATTAATGTATGAATAAATAAGTACAATAATAAAAAAACAAATGCTTGTCTTTTTATTGATGTCATATCCTCTTGTTTTTACACCTTTTCCCTGATATGGCCGCTAATCTTCACTGCGAGGATCAGACATTTTATTAAATAAAAAAAGTTTTTTATTAAATAATCAAACCAAATATTATTGCGTGTGAGCGTGTGTTCACAAAGTACTGAAACTTGGTAGAGAAACATGAGTCGAAGGTGAGGAATTCCGCTTTTCTGTTTCTTCCTGATTTCACTCATTTAACCGGAACGTCTTCTCTATAATCCATATCATGCAGAAAAATGACAACAAGGATTGTTTTTTGTTCTGTGGGTGTAGAAGGCCACTGAGATTAAAGCTGACACTTAGAGTTTTACCAAAATACTGTTTTATAAACAGTTCTGAAGACAATGTCAGGGTCAAGAAGGAAGGAGCTATCTGAAGTTGTCCTTCAGAAACAATGAACTGAAATAGAGAAATGAACACTATTTTTTCTTTTTTTTGAGGGTGGGGGTTACCAAAAAYAGTTCCCTGTTGGCTTCACATTTCAGACATGATTGTAACTGTCAACTTTAATAGTTTAACACTTAAGTTAATGTTAGATAGATTTGAGGGAAAATCTTCAAGTTTTGATTTTAAACATTTAAGTCAAACTAGTCTGTCGAAGTTTAAAGCTCTGAAACATGAAACTCTACAGAATTACTAATTCATCGTTTTGTATTTTACTTTTGGGAAACTGCAAATAAATGAAATAAGCAGGAGTTGTATAAAGTTCATGCATTTTGAGAATTAAAAAAAACAACTTGGCTATAAATGGTATTACTCAATAAAAGCCACAAGAGGCTTCGTTTTGGAAACACCAATCATAAATCCATATTTTGCAACACGGAGTTGAACTTCAAACTGTACAAATCCTGCCCATTTTAAGAGAGCCAAACGTTCCCCTGAGCCAAAACAAGAATGTGAAGAAAAATGTTRTGTATGTAATAAGATGTTGTGACGCATCTCCTTAGAATAAAGTTAATGCAAGTGCAACATTTTTCCGAGCAGCTCCAGAAGATAAAAACAAACGATAGAGAAAGTGAGAAATGTTTTYCTTTAAAGCCAAAGAGTTACGTGATTAAAACAAAAATGGAGTTTACGTACCACAGATTGCAGTTCTCTTTGTAGGTTTGCCCTGTGAGGAACCTGTTCCCATTTCTTTCACAGGCGCCTGAGAAGAGACAAAGATACGTATAGATATATTGTCTGCTCCCACTTTTCTTAAAGAAATCTATCCACACAACTTCAATTATAGACAAATATACAACACAAAGAGAATATATACAGTAAACATGAAGGTTTTTTCATTTGTACACACAAAAAAATGCTTAAATTAACTTGTGTTTGTGTGTGGTTGCAGGACACACACACACACACACACACACAGATTATGTGGACCTAAGGAGCTCTTCGGTAATCCCATGTAGGAATGTGGTATTAGCTTCTTGCTTCTCTTCCCATGGTTTAAGCATCCCACACTTCACCACCTCTACAGGGATACATACAATGTGCTGCTGATTGCATAAAGATCGGGTGGAATTTAGAGGGAAATCACTCTCACATGCCATAAAACCACAGCAGTGCACTCGCATCACTTCAACCGCTTTCAACTTGAATTTTGAAACCATCAGCCAGGTGACAGACTCATGACAAACATTTACCTGCCAGCTGATTTACAGCGGGGGTGTCAGGGCCAATTTCATATGGAATTTAAAGCATCRGGGGTGGAGCAAAGCCCTGAGCCGATCGTGTGATTTATGACTGAGGCCATCTTCTAGCTCACAGCTGTCTAACTCACACTGTGGCGTCGATCTGCAACAAGCTGCAGATTAATGGGGATGTGGTGTGTGCAGAATAATAATAAAGTGTTTTTTTAAATGGATCTCAGTCAGGCTGCATAATAAGTGAAGATGACAAATTGTCCCCTCCTTCTTTCCAGAGTGGCAGAGTGCAGCTCGAAGGTATGTACGTCACGTCCCACAAGTCTGCTAACCTTTCGATTAAGAAACACATACCTGCCCCTCTGCCC